TGCGGAGCCCGGGGCGTGCTGGCCTCCGGATGCGGTTCTCGGCGCGGCTGGGGTGGGAGCTGCTGCCTCTTCCTTCCCTGAACGAAAAGTCCTGTGCTTGTGAGCGGCGGTGATTCATGGTGTCTCACTGAGGTTCACGTGATAACGCTTTGTGTATCACAGACACAAACATCCGCTAAGATGGCTGCAGAGTCGATGAAATCAGGTTGATGTCTGATGCGATGTGGGTGGTTTTATTCCTGTTTACCTCCTTAAAACTTAAACAAGATGCCCTAGTGCAGCAGCTCTTTGGAGAAAACTTCCCTCCGGGTGTGTAATTTGGTGTACCATAGAGCCTCCGCACTCCGCCACGGCTTTCCTTGAAATGCCTCAGCCTTACCCAAACCGGTGATTCATTTGTTTTGGAAAAGGGCTGGTTTTGGTTGCGGGGAGCTGCTCGCGCGCGGTGGGAGTTGGCGCGGGTTGACGCTCCTTGCCTTTTCCCTTGGCTGCAGGACCCCCCCTATTTCACGGTGCTACCAGGCTGGGAGTACAGACAGGAGGCAGGGAGGGAGCTGTTGATTCCTTGCGCTGCTGCCGGAGACCCCTTTCCCATCATCGCCTGGAGAAAGGTACCCGGCCTGCCAGACAAATCTGCAGTGCCTTTGGCTTTTGGTGAATATTGCAGACAGAGAAGCCACACTCTGTCCCGGTAAGAACAAACTGCAGGTACAGCTGCTTCGCTTTGGGCTGAGCCACTGCCGTCCTGTCCCGCAGGTGGGTGGGGGAAGCCCGGTTTGTGGCCACCGAGTACCTTAATCCCGTGAAACTGTCACGGCAGCATCTGCAAAGCTGAGCGCTGCCCTGGCCCCCCCCCCTCCTCTTCCTTGCCGACGCTGTCCGCAGGACACCCTCCTCCTTGCCTGCCTGCAAGGTGGTCACCGGCAGGATGCGGCAGCCCTGGTGATGCTGTTCTTGCAGCACGGACGTCCCATGGTGGGAGGGGACGTGCTACTGGAGCATGTCCAGGGGTCTCTTGGCTGCATTTTGGCAGGGGGCTGGACCGGTCAGTGGCTGCTTTGCTGCCCGGTGACTTCGAAGACCCTGGGAAGAAGCTGTTTTAATGATGCTGGACTGGGCATAATGATTTCAGGATGTCCCTTTCTGTAAAGCAGGGTAGGGTCCGGCGTGGCGGCACAGCCTGGGAGCTACCAGGGCTTTCTAGTCCTCCTCCAGCCTTCCCTTCGCTTCCCACCTTCACTGATCCCGTAGGAAAGCCACCGTGCAGGGGACCTCCTGGGCATTTTGTCTCCCTGTCAGGATCTTCTCTCCAAGCCTCCCGTCCCCTTCTTAGGGCTCCTGAGAGTGAGCGGGGTCCCTGCATCGCCCAGTGGGCACTGTCCTCAGTCCTTGTGGTGTGAGATGCTGGATCTGTTTGAGTTCCTTTTACCAGCCCAAGGAGGACCATGACTTGCACAGATTGCAAGTGAGCTACCTAAAACTTGTTGGCCGTTTAGTCTTTTTTCTCCATCTTATTTTTCTCTCCCCACCCCTCACCATTCTTATTCAGGTTTCTTTTCAACCCCTCTTGTGCCTTCTGGCGGTCTTCCTCATGTCATGACTCTGGGCTTATCCCCCCCCGACTCCAGTCGGGGCTGGCTTGGGCTGGGCTCAGTTTCCCAGTGGCAGAAGCAAGCTCCCTCGCTCCCCGTCAGCCCACCAGCGCTAACCAGTCTCTTGAAGGATTCCTGAAGACTTGGGCTTTGCACTGGTAACCGCACGTGCCCATCTGTTCCTCTGCTCATCCTGCATGGCATCGAACCGTGGGTCCCAGTGTCGATGGGCAGAGGCCCCTGCGTGAAGAACATCCGAAGAGGACTCAGGACAACGTGGGATTTGCACAACTTTGGCTGACGGACATAGACATGAGTTGTTACAAGATCCATCTTTCTGCTTGGCTTCAGAGCTCCCGGGCACCTCCACGCACGCCATCCTCCCGTGTCCCCGTGGGGCCCTGGCTGCCCAAACCTCTGACATGAAGGGTCCTGCCTCTCCTCTGCCACTGGCTGAGGGGCAGTTTGGGCACCTCCTGGGGCAGGTGGTGCCTTCCCTGGCCTGGGAGGGTGTTTGTCAGGGGTGGCCGGTGCACCTTCCTCGTAGCGGTTTCAGCTTTGGATGCTGGAGGTTGAGCCCTGGCTCAGGGCTCGGTGTCTGTGCGAGTGCCGTGGGGTTTTCCGCTTGAGTGTGAGTGCTGAGCATCA